CATGGCCTACGTTACCGGGTGGTTCTGTGCATTGACCATCGTGGGCAGCATATTGGAGGCTGTCAAGCATCACTCAAACCTCACATTAAGGAAGACTGCCTGGTTCCTATTGCCTGCCACAAACCCAGAGGTACGACAGCAATAACTGACAATGTGATATGGGTGTGTGCGTGTAACAAATATTAACATAAACAATGGTCTTTTTTCATTTTTTTAAAATATATACATACAAAAAAATGAGAATTGAATATTTAAACGCAGAACAGAAAAGAAAAGAGAAGTACAAAAACCCTTAAACAGCTTTACCAGGGCGCTTCTAATCCTAACCTATTTGAAAAGGAGGAAAAACGAGTGATAAGACTGCACATATCTATGCATGCAAATTCTCAAAATAATTAAATGAAGCTAAAACAATTAGACATTACCAAACAGTTTGCCATGGTTGTCTATCTACCAGGGATAACGCTGCAGAGATTAAAAACAATTCTTTAACATGTTGGTGCTAAGTTTCAAATTGGAGATGGAAGGGTATCCCATACCACTCAACCTCTGTAAATAAACCAAAGTATAATAGAGATATTTGACAGATAGAAGGAATTAGTTTGCAGACAATTCTAGTGGAATAATTGTGGAATGGATGACTGTAGGAGTTTAGTTTTATCAAAAAATGATATGTAGAATATAGCTACAAGTTACAGACTGAGTTGTAGCAGTGTCAGTAATCATTCCTGAGGTATGCCAACACTATGAACTGCAACTACTGCTGCCAGTTTGTTGCCTTCCTGACACAAGCACAGTCGGTGAACATTTATTTTAAGTACCTGTGCAGTCTGCACGCTAGCAGAGCGTACCATCCACGCAGTCGCAAATTGTTTGCTGCGTGTGAACATCTGCAGTCTGTCAGGGCTCTCACAGATTAGGGCAGAGGACAAAATTTCCATCCTTGTAGACACGCGGACATGAATTAAATAAAGCATGAATTGACCTTCAAGAGCATGATGTAGTAGGAGGCATTTTAAGTTTAAAGATCCACAGAGTCTTCATTAGGAGGGTGGTCTGACACAGAACTTTCATCTCAGCCAAACGAACGTTTGGGGTTCATGTCCCATGTGGGACCATTAGTCTTAGACTTAATTCCATTATGACATGCTTTTTGGTTAGGTTTAGGCACCAAAAGGTTTTGGTTATATTTACAAAAGTGTCGTGCTTTGGTCGGGATGTTCCAGCTGATATCACAGATCACAGCATTTTTAAGTGATTGGTATCAGCACCAATCTATGTCTGATCCTATGTTTGTGTCCAAAGAGATNCAATCACGTCAGCTCACAAACTAAGAATTACAATTTCAAAGATTAGCAACATGTGGATGAAAAAATTGTATGTGAAATAAAATGACCAAAGTATTATAGAACATAAGTGCACTGACATCTTAGCTTGCAATGAGCAGGCAGTTGTACTGATGGACAACATTACACCTTTACCATGCTTCTTGTCCCCCTGGAGCACATGGTGAGCCAAAATACAAGATGGGTATAGCCAGGGAAATGCCTTTGATGCACATCAAGATATTCCCTGTTCTGCCACCGCTGAACTAAAATGGAGCCCTTAAATATGAAAATCTGTCTCTCTAGAGTTCCACAACTTTAGTACAGTACAGTGCAGTACTTAATCTCTGGTACCACTTTTAGAAATGGTAACAGTTCCATTCGTAGCCTGATTTGGTTTCAGTACTTATTGTAGCAAAGTAGTTAATGGGTGAAAGTACATTCATTGCAGCATAACATGTAAACATTGACAGAAGTAGTTTTTTCCACATGATTGGGCCTGTCATAGTTCTCATATTGGTAGAAAGAATGATCTGTCTGAAGGTAAAATATGTGGAATAGTCCAATGTCTTTCAGGAAGACTCCAGAGTCCCAAGATCCTGGAGGTTGTCCATAGAACTGTATTCCAACAACAAAGTTATGAGACAGTAAACATTCCAGACCATTACGTTTGAAGCTGTGGTAGCTGTGTAGCATGAGGTGTTAGTTGTTAGCTGTTGGACAGAGAAAGAATGCTTTATTTTCAGAAATGTGTCACCTCAGTTCCTCTATCCTCTGTTTTAATCCGTTTATCTTTCCCAAACATGGTGGGTGGGAAGAGAAAAGACAAAAAACAGAGCTGAAACTGAACTTTTGAGAAATGTCAGGATACTTGGGATGGAGTACTTTTACTATTATACCTTTATTTAAAATACAAATAAATTGTAATTTATTTGATAATGCTGTAGTTTGGTCACAATGTGTCACAAAGGTCTTATTTAGTACATTTCCACAATCTCCTATTAGAAACATTGATCCCCATATTTATCAGTATTTTGTGTCTGAGCTGCTCCATCTCTCTCTGCAGATGGGAGTTAACAGCGTGGACTGGCTGCTCTGCGTCCTGTGGCGTCGGCATACAGACCAGGAGTGTTTTTTGCATGCGTCTGTTATCCATTGATCAGCAGGATATTCTGACTGTTTCAGAGAGAGAGTGCAGGGACTTCAAACCTGCCATCCTGCAACCCTGCAACCAAGTGGACTGTCCTCCGGCCTGGGAGACCGAACCTTGGCAGCAGGTATGGGCATTGTTAGCACATGTTTGCCAATGTATGGAAACTGAATAAATGCTTCCCTTCATAGCTCTGACTTTGTCTTTTGCTTCCTTCCTCCAGTGCTCCCAGTCCTGTGGTGGTGGTGTCCAGGTGAGGAAGGTCTATTGCAAGCAGCTCCTCTCCACAGGGGCCTATAGAAGGCTGGGAGACAAGGTCTGCTGGGGAGTCAAACCCGCCACTAACAGAGGTTGCAACAATATTGACTGTCTCCCTTACATGGCAGGAGGAGAATGGGGAAAGGTGAGCCCTAGTGAGTGGAGAAATCAAAGAGCTGATCCAAGCTTGAATGAAAGTCATTGTTTTCAATATTGCAATGTTTTTTTTACGGTCATACCTAATTTGAACTAAGATATGATCAAGGTTCGAGTCTGCTTCAACAATCAGTGTCTTCAATGACATTTTGATTAGATGTCATAATGAATATGAATAAGCATATCCGTTGATGTATATTATATACTGTATAATCTACAATATATTGTATGTATGTAAACTGTACTGATTTTTTTCCCTCCTGTGGTGCATAATTTGCATCCAGTGACATTGTTACATAAACATCCTGTTGTAAATTTAGCATAAATTTGGTCATTTTTAACTAGATTCTTCTGCAAAAACATTGGCACTAAATGTTAAAACCAGTGACCATAACCAAATGCAGGGTTTTGCAGAATTGTCTAATGTCATAGCCCTGATGTTTATGTTTTTTAAAAAAATAATTATTCTATCCTGTTTTGACTCTGTAGTGCTCTGTGTCCTGTGGTTTGGGGATCCAGCGTAGGGAGCCACTCTGTCGCCAGTTGAGGGGCATGGGCCAACAGGTGACGCTGGCCAGGGAGCAATGCGTAGGTTTGAGCTCCCCTCCACTCGTACGAACCTGCCGCATGCTGGCCTGTCCCAGTAAGAACACAAACACTAACACACACATTTTAATGTATTTTTGGTGTGAATTACCACCACTGGCACATGCAGACATCCAACATGATTAGACACTCAAGCTTTCTTTCTTCTGTTTCTTTTTAAAGTGTTTTTATGTACCTTTACTCTTTGCATTATGTGGCATACTCACTTGCTACCTTAATTAATCGTTGATTCATGCAGTGACCCTGCAGTATCCACAAGCATGTGACTGGTTTTACTGATTACTGTGCTGAATAATTAGGGTTCAGAAACATGCCTTCATGATGGAACAATGATCATATTATAAACCAATGAACTTGTACATTCACACAGTCAGCAATTTTCTGCCAGCATTCCTTCCTGGCTTTGGTCACTGCAACTGTTGGTTTTTGCTCCAATGATGTTTTTATGTTCTTCATATTTTGTGACGATTATATTCTGCTCCTCTGCGGCATAGACTGTATAAAAGATGGACGTAGCAACCGGCCCCCAAAAATGAAGCCAACCCGGAAGTGTCAAAAACCTGCAATATCACTACGTCCGCTAGTTGCTGGCTCCAAAAAGCCCTGTCTCCCATAGAAATGAATTGGAAAAGAAGTGATCACAGATCATGAAATACTGCATTCCTCCAGCTCAGGATTTTTAAAAAATTAGTTTTCATGGTCAAGTCCAGAGATCAGGTGGCCAATCTGAAAATAAATCAATACAGAATTTTAAAAAAATCATCAACATTTTGCGGGGCAAGGGGCGTGGCTGGTTTGATTGACAGTCGGCAGCGACGATGCAGACGAAGCGAGCAGAAGTGCAGGCAGAGAGGGCCTGCCTCTCAATCCGTCTGATCAATCGCTGCTCTGCGGTAAAGGAAGCCGCTCTGCAGTCAGACTTGTCCATTGGTCAGAAGCTGATAACGCCGCCCATCTAATGTGCACGCACTCATACTCAGATCAGATAAACCTGGGTTGACTTACTGAGTTGATAGCCACCGTTGTGTGACCGCTTATCCTGAGTGCGGTTGTTAGGGATAGTCAAGCCGGATCTCTGAAAGATCTTCTAGGGGTGTTGATCTCGCTTTGTTGTAGAGGCCCCTCGTTAAACACAAGTAGGCAAGGTTGTTGCCTTGTTCTAAAAAAAATAAATAAATAAAGACATCGGGAAAACTGTAGCTGTGACATACCAGATTACAAATTTTTTAAACATTCTCAGGCATAGTGTTGTTATGAGTATACAGCTGGAAAATGACCAGAATTACCCATAGGGCTGTGAGAAATGTAAACACTCCCCAGTTCTTTGCAGGGTCTCACTTTGTCAAGCTATCAACAGATCTTGCCTTCTCTTTGAAAGCTAATATTTGAAGGAAAACCTTTGAAGCACAGCCAGTTTAATCTTTAGTCTTCATGTTAATTTATATTGCTATACAGTATGTTCATGGTGTGTTTCGGCCTAGTGTGTGGGAGGGATATGTGAAAATCATGCATTAAGTTCAAGAGCTGTTTAATAAGTGCTAATAAAGTCACATATATGTGGCCAAGCTACAGAAGGGAAAGTTTGTCCAGTGTTTCACACAGTCTGTAGTGTGCGCATGTGAAATAAATTCACACAATTTTGGGCCAACAGGCATTTTATCTGATTTAGTGATTCTGTATGAGTCCCACTAACTCACCACAGCCTGTAAAAAAACATGGCTGAGTGTCACGACGACCCAGGAGAGTTTGATTCTAAGTGTGTTTTAAAATAAATGTTTTCTTCTGTTGCTGCTGCCTGCTCCCTCTTCACAGATACAGTTGGTTAATTAGGATTAAGTTCAAGGCCAGGTCATTGGCAGAGTTTAGCTGCCAGTAGTGTTGCATCGCCACATTAATCTCAGCACTATGTTGTGTTAGCTTCTAATCAGGCATTCGCTGGTGCAAAGGTGAGAAAGTAAGCAGGGTTCAGACTTCTGTTTGAGGCCAGAGAAAGAAAACCTTTGCTGCAAGGAGTGGGACTTTTTCAAGCCAAACCTTGAATTTAGACATTTCCATGAATGTGAGGGATCCCAGCTGTTAGACTACAGAAGACTAATTTGCATGTTAGCATTGTTATTATGCAGACTTTGTTTCAGCTGCCCTAACACACACACACACACACACACACACACACACAGCCCATATGGAAAAAAGTGACAACATGTAAACCACTAAAGGAAATCAAACCACATTAGAAAGACTCTTAGGCGGCTATAAAAAGCTGTGCCATCTGCAAATTATATATCAGGTCTAAATTAGGTCTGAATGGACAGGTATGACCTTTAATAAGCTGAACAGTGTTATACATAGTATTAATCAGCATGTGTTGAGTACAGACAAAGGACACAACTTAGTGTGTTGGTGCAACATTTTAATTTAATTTCAAGTTGTATTTATTGTGGTATATTTAATTGGTACTGTATCAGTGTGACACAGCATTTGCAGAAAACTACAATTTGTTACATTATACAGATTGGTTGCAAAATAAAATTTGACATGAATGTTTCTTATCAAGCTTTCAGAACAGCTTCAGTGCTTTTTGGCATAGATTTGGGATAAATGGACAGTCTTATGATATATTTCCTCATCTAGTTTAAGAGTGTCTGCTGTACAACAGACTTCTAATACTGCAGAGGTTCAGTTAAGAGAGTGCAGAGAGACAACACTATTGTTAAGGCAGGTCAGAGAACCCAGGTGCCGGCAGAGACAGGTGACTGGATAACAGAAAACTAAACAAAACTCAAATGATACAAACAGCGTGGGATCACAAGCAGGAAGAACTAATCAAACTAAACTGAACATCACAACCTCAAGGAATAAATGTTATCTAGACTATTAAGAGGGCAGATTAAGACAACTAGTGGAGAAATTACAAACACAAGTGGGGATGACTGGCAACGGGCTGGAGACAGGACTGAGACAAACCAAACCTAATACAAAAATAGGTGAAATTACAAAATCTTACAAAAATACTCTAACAGAATGAGACCTAAGGAAAATTAAATTAATGACCTAAGCAAAACTAACGAAACGGGAATATATAATAGGACTGGGAAATAGACTAAGGAGGCAGCAGAGGCTAGGAGAGGGCAGGCAGAAGAGAGGTCGGGGGCCAGAGGCAGATATCGGCTGGTTGGGGGCAGAATCCGGGCGATGAGTGTGTTGCCGATGCAGGTGGTACCGGTGGAAGCAGCCTTCTCCAAGCTGCTTCCACTGGTACCACCTGCATCGACTGGTTGGTGACAGATCCAGGCGGCGAGTGCGTTGTAGTGGAAGCAGCTTGGAGAAGGCTGGCAGAAGACAGGTCGGGGAACAGTGGCAGATACAGGCAGGATCAGGGTGGCAGGTGTGTTGTCGAAACGGGGGGATCAGACAGCAGCAGCTTGGAGAAGTTTGGAAGGTAGGAGACAGGTCGGGGACCAGCAGGAAAACAGGGTTGCATTGTCTATGATCAGGCAGGGAGTGGTGGAATGAACAGGGCTTGTATGGAACAGAAGGTGATTGTGGACAGGTGAACTTATCCCTGCAGCTGTCTCCAGTCCCTGTAATCAAGCACACTGCATACAGGGCTGGAGTGACGTGGGAGGTGGAGAGGGAGAGAGTGGTGAGCAAGGCTGAGCCATAGGCAGAAAGAGAGAAAAGAGGGTGAAAGAAAGAAAGGGAGAGAGGGCTAGGCAGGAGCTGAGGCTGAGGCAGGGATCCTGAAAACTATCCTGTTTTCTTGATGTCCCCAGCCAAGTATAGAACAGGCTGTTAGTGGAACATGTTATGTTAGTAGTTTCACTCCAATTAATTTTTTAAAACATTTTTCATCATCCCCCATGTGCAAAGTCATTTCTGAACCACTGCTGTTGCTGCAAAACAATGTTAGACCATTTTTCATCTCACATTGGTGTTTGGCCATTTTACATGTTCACTTTCTTTTAATGGTCATGCATTTGTGTGAAAATTACTTAAGCAATCATTACTGACTGGGAACACTGGTGCACAAATACATTTACCAGTTCAATAAAGCTTTTGGTTACATACCTGGATTAAAACACCTATTCTCTGGTTTAAGTTTTAATGTTCATGTTGGGATTTCCCAATGCAATCAGTGTTGAGTGTGAAACAGTATGAGTGAATGGTTGGATGATTATATTGAGCAAACTGGAAGCAGCAATACTGAAGACCAAACAATCAGCCCATTCAGAGCAGGTGTGTCGTTAACGGCCTCTGTACTAGTAGATCTTTAATGAGATGTGGCACGGCCGCCCCCATGTCTGAACAACTGCATACATGTGTCAGATCCACCTTGCTTTTGGAAATGCCTTTTAGTCTAATATTTCTCTGGTACCTTGAGTCTTGCTTCTCACCTCACGTCAATCTATGCTTCTGTCTAGTATAGTCTTAAACTACTTTTCCATTTTTCTTATCATGCTTTAACTGAATAACTTCTGTGACCCAGAAGTTATCTCACACCATTTTATTTGACTTAGTAATGTACAATGTAATTGCCTACTCACCTTTTGTGCTCGAGTTCCAAGGGAAAAAGAGAGGGAGGTCTGGTTTGCATTTCATTTTGCAAGTATGACCATCAATCCAAATGGTTTACAATCATTGTTATTCAGACAAGTATAAACTGCTCCATCCTTACATCCATTATCGACACATCGCTTAATCCTCCGTAGGGTCACGGGGGGCTGGAGTCTATCCCAGCTGACTTAGGGCGAAGGCAGGGCAGACCTGGACAGGTGGTCACTAGTCCATCGCAGGGCTACACAGAAAGACAAACAACCAAGCACACTCACATTCACACCTACGGACAATTTAGAATCACCAATTAACCTCAGCATGTTTTTGGACTGTGTGGGAGGAAGCCGGAGAATTCGATGAGAACCCACGGAGGGGAAATATGCAAACTCCACATGGAAAGAACCCAGGCTGAGAGTTGAACCCAGGAACCCAGTGCTAACCACTTCACTACCTTGCCGTCCATCTATTAGAACTTATTTTATTATACAGTTAGGTGAAATATGAAAGAAATACCAGCGTCACACGACTTGGCACTGTGGGATCACCTTAGCTTTCCTTGTACATGTAGTAGAGCCTGTACAGAAATGAACAGAGTAAGCCTTTGACATAACACCACATACACCACATCACCACAGGTCATATAAGTCAGAGTTCATCCAACATTAGAAAGCAAGTGAATAAACCCATTTCCCAGGTTACTGATACATTTCTTTAAATTTGTCTCGCTACTATTTCATTATTGAAACTATTTAACATTTCAACAGTATTTGTGTGTCTTTACAGACTTGTGTTTTATTCCTGTAATTTTAGAGACTTCCCTCTGTCTCAATAAAAAATTACAAACTTACACAATACTTGAAAATTTCTGTTAGTGTTAACAAACACCTTCTCACTTTCTTTCCTAACAGAGCACAAAAAGGACACGAGACCCAAAGACACCCAGAAGGTTCCAATAAACAACCAAGTAAAGCAGACAGTGAGACATCAAGCAAAACCTAGAGGCTATGAGAAGGAAGTAAAACGGTGTCCCCTGCTCATGGGTATTCACCGCATCTATATCCAGACCCGCAAAGAGAAACGCCTCCACCTGACAATTGGTGGCCATGCCTTCCTTTTACCCAATACCTCTCTCGTCATCAAATGCCCTGTCAGAAGGTTCCCCAAAGTCTATATCCGCTGGTTCAAAGATGGGAGCCCCTTACCCAGTTTCAAACACCTGGGCATCACCAAATCTGGGTCTCTGAAAATCCATGCACTTGGGGCACAGGACATCGGGGTGTACAAGTGTGTTGCTGGACCTGCCTCAGACATTTTCACACTCCAGCTGATAGGCATAGACAGCAGGTCAACTGACAGACTATCTACTGCCAGTCCAAGTCCCAACTGGGAGGAAATGTTGCCTAAATGCCACTGGCACTACTCAGGCTTGGAGTTGTTCAAGCCTGGAGTATCTCTGCTGCCCCTTGGTGACCCGCAGGTCTCCCTGCTGCCACGGGTGAAGGAGCGGCTGATTAATATCACACTGCAGGCTGACAGAGGAGAGATTCAGCAGGAGCAGGCTTCAGAACTCATCTCCTCGATGCTGACCCACATGTCTGCTTCCCAGCTCTGGACCACAACTACAAAGAGAGAAGGACAAGATAAAGGTAATTAGAAACCCAACTGCTCTGTCCATTCTGTTGTTTTGTTTGTTCTTTTTTATTTTTTTTTTTGTTTACCAAAACTCCACCAAAAATACTTTAAGGTGGGTTTCTTATTGTCTGGAAGACAAATTCTTTCTTACTTTCTTTCGTCATTTGTCTTTCATTTAAGATAAGAAAGATATAAGAAAGAAAGTTCCAGCAAGTCTGGCCAAACTTCTCTGAACTCTCATTGCAAGGTATTTTCATCTGCAGAACTGCTGCTGTTGTTGACTGTTCTGGTGAAAATCCAGGACCTCAGCAGTTTTAGAAAAACTCAAATCAGTCCATCTGACACCAACAATCCTGCTACAGTTAAAGTCACTCTGATCCAGTTTTTTCCCCATTCTGATGTTTGATGTGAACCTTTCAGGTGGAGTATGCCATTCTAATCTTAAACACTTTTAGTCATATATCTCCTCATGATCCACTGGCTGTCTGTTCTGTGTTTGCGTTGTCCTAATACACAGCTCGGCCTCTGAAAATGGCAAACAAACAAAGTGACTCAGACCAAAACACACAACACTATAACAGCGTGTCCAATACGCGACCATCCTCGTGCACATTTGTGGTCATGCATACAACCAGAGAGATCATATTTGGGAAAAGGGGCAGTGGCACAGATGCGGCCTTTTAAGGAATTTCCTGACCTGTATCAGCTGAATTTTGAGATGTACTTCTGCCATATATTTGGCAAATTGAATAGCTTTATAAAGTAGCATGTATACAGGTGTTACTAATGAAGTGCTCACTCAGTTTAGATATAAATGTATGCTGATGTAAAGTTTCTCTTTAACCCTTTGCCGAATGAAAAACAAATAAAAAGAAACTACTCATTATATTTGCTGACCAGTCTTGGTCTTACTTGTAAGAATAAACCTTTAGTTTCCTTTGTTGTGTTTGTATCTGATTGGTTCTGTAGACAGACTGCCCAACTGGTCTGAGCACTCTTCACTGGAGTTGGTTGTGACCAGACCACTGATCATCAGACCGCAGCAGATCCTTCCACTGACTTTTCAAAAGAATATCAACATCAGTATCGGACACAGCGCCCTTCTTGCCAACGGCACACGATCGCTGACGATACGCTGTCCTGTAGAGGGCTTCCCACCTGCCAAAATCAGCTGGACCAAAGATGGAACTCTGCTGCATCACAATGACAGGTAACATAGTGGAGTTAGGCCTGGTACAGCAATCACTTCTGATTCAGTGCAATCATTATGAGGTATGTAATGTATGTGTGTATGTATGGACTACATTTTGGCCTATATTAATAGAAAGAAATCTAAACATTTCTCATTTAGGGTGTCTTTCTGCTTTGTGCCAAAGATAGAAAAGAATACAAAAAATCAAAATCAGATCAAATCACGTTTATTGTCATTTTGCTGTACATACACAGTAGTACAGACAAGATGAAAGAGTGTTTCTTCAGAATCCAATAACTCAAAGCAATTTAAAAAAAAACAAGTGTTTGCATATCTAGATCAGCAGTTCAGCCTTCTGACAGCTACCAGAATGAAGCTGTTGATCATTCATACAAGAACAGTTATCAAATAAAAATCAAGTAAAGCAAATACACATCTGGCCACTGAGCCACAAGTTAGAAAACCTGTGATGACTGGAACAACGTGGAGTAGATGAGCTTTCCTGTGAGCCTAATTACATGAACATAGCCATAAAGTGACCCGTAAAAACCAGAGCATTGTTATTTTTACTGCATTTACCTGCATGTCTGCATCATGGTTTCCAGTGAAAAATAGTGTTCAAAGGAATTAAAAAATCTAATTCTGAGACCTCATGAAGATGGCAAAAGATACATGAAGATCAATGACCAACTAATTATAAGTGTAAATACAGTTGCAGCAGTAATCAGTGAGTGCAGAATGAACCACAGTAACACTAATCAGAGCAACAATAGCTGTCTTCCTAAAATGATGCCACAGACGGTGCTTACACAATCAAGCTCTGAAAAACAAACAGACAAATGCCTCAGACTTGGCACAGAAGTTATGAATAGAAATGAGGGTTTCTGTGGCTGTGTGAAGGACATTGCATGACATCAACCGCATTAATATGTTTATAGAGTTCTTTTGTTGAAAGAATTCTTGCTCTTTGGGACAAAACTGCAAAATGAAACTTTGCTAAAGAATATGAAAAGAAGCCTAATGAATATGAGGAGCACGTTCTTATGGAGGGTTGTGGTGTTACATAAGAGGGTTGTGTGGCGTGGCTGTAGGAATCCAGGAAATGGAGAGTTGGTGCGATTATCCCGGATCCAGAGAGGTATGAGAAGATGTCAGTGTGGAGGCAGGATCACCAACAGGGAGCGATACAGAGAACTGAACAAGAAAACACAGGTTAGACTGCAGCAAGGCAACCAAACAATGAGCTAAAGTGAACTGAGATGGCTGATGACTTGCAGTAGTACAATAGTCTAGCATCAAGTAGTGGACTGTCCCCTTCTTTTATGGCAGGTTGTGAATGCTGAACAGGTAAGCCACTCCCAGCCCCAGGTGTCCTCATTATCCAATCAGCTACGATGAGGGAAAGCGCACACACACACACACACACACACACACACACACACCACACTCATGTCCACAGAGGGAAGGGAAAAGGAGGGAGAGCTGCCAGCTAAGCAGAGGAGATGGAGGACATGACACTCTGAGTTAGACCTAAAAGCAACCATCCCTGAGATGCAACAGAAACATTTAATGTATTTAATGTACATTTAGTGTCATGAATTGTTTGATGGTGATGGTGCATTTGTCCCTTTAACCAAACTGCCGTCTGCACAAGAGGCGGCAGAAATCATGCTCTTTCATGTATTCAGACTGCATAGTCTCCAATGGGATGTGGAACAAACCCCCCTATGCACACACACTCATCAGTGGTGCACCTGCCTACATGGTGGGGAAGCTCTTGGTTGTCCATTGCTGAGATGGCCAGTGCCTTGGGGATTGGGAGGGCTGTGGCCCTAAAGACATGATGTGATTTTCCACTTGGAACATTCTGTCTCCTGAACTCATCTGAAGTTTTCACCACCTTCATCCTGAGTAGCCTGGACCATCAGGCTTCATACTGTCACATCCAGCTCTTGCTCTTATGTCATGTTTCGCTTACTTCCTATTGTAGTTGGATCTCTCCTGTTGTACGTTGTACTCACCCATGTCTTGTTGCAGGTGTCTTTACACTACCTCTCTCTGTCTGCTCTCTAGCCTTTGTGATTACCTGCCCACCCCTAATGTGCTCCACCTGTGTGTATTGTCTCCCCTGCCCCAGTGTACATATACTCACCCTTTTCCTCACATTATTTGCAAATTTGTCTTATGCCTTCTTGCAAGCATCCCAGGCATTTCTCTTTGTGATTTTCCTGGTGTTACCTGTGTTTTTGTGACCCAGCCCGTTTTTAACTAGCGGGCTCAGTTTCGTGATTTGGATTCCTCTGCCTGATTATTGCACTTCTTGTACAATAAATCTTTTGGATTTTTGTAAGCCTCCCAAGTCATGCATTGTGAGTTCATTCCTCATTCAAGGCCCCCTCTTTTAAAAAAAAACACATTGTATTTGCTAAATGCAGATTGAGGTTTGAGAGCTGACACTCACTGGTACTCTGTCTCGTGTGTGGGAGCAGGCAGCAGCATATCAAACCATCACACATTGCTAGAGAACCTGTCAATCACATCATGACTGACTGTAGAGAGATTGCTTTTCTGCTCCAATACCTTGCACAGCATGCCTTGTTCTTAATTTCTCCAATACTGATGCACTAACGTATATGGACTATGAGCTGTCATTGTGTATGAAATCCAAACCTGCCTAACTGGGCTTGGCATTGTTTGTCAAAATGCAGCTAGAAGGCAAAGTCAGTGGCTGACTCTGTAAAGTGTTCCACACATAAGATTTAGGTTCAGAGCTTAATGGGGGAAAATTTTTTTAAAAAGATATACAATGTGATTGAGTTGAGTATATTACATACAATGTTACATTACTAGAGCATCTGCAAACTGTCATGAACTAAAACCCTTTCAAATTTGCACTTCCATTTAATAATTTACAACTTTTTTAAAAAGTCAGCATTAGTTTCTTACAAGCACAAGAAAAGAGTATATCTCACTATCCCAATATGTCTCCCCTATAAGTCAATTGCAAATGATGTCACTTCAGTATCCTAAAGGAATTTTCAATAATTTTGTTATAGAGAAAAAATGTATGGTTTAATTTTTTTTTTAAACACCCCATGTAAAAGGATTAACACTAAATTTGTTTCCATGCAGAGCAGGACCACATCATTATGTAATAAAGTAGATCTCACCACAGTTATTATTACCCTGTATTGTATATAAATGACCATAAATCTTAGACTTGGTCGGACAACACATTTTTGCTTTTTCTCTTGCTTAACTCTACCTAAGGAACACTGACCTTTTGGGAAATATTTTGGGTTGTCAAAATGGACTGAAGTCAGATGAAGAAAAGTGAAGCCAATGCTTGAGTTACTTTAACCTGCATTCTTTTTAATGGCCAACAGGGCACGATTCCTTCAGCTATTGAAAGAAGTCTGCTTGTAGACAAGTCTATGGAAAAATTATCGTTTCCCACTTTATTTGTTACATTAGTAAACAATTCCTTAATGTCTTTAGGATCTTAATCATTATTTTTAAGTCTCCTTCAGTACAGCATGATGTTTATTTTGTAAACTATGGTCTTATTGAAAGCAAAATATATGATAAAGTATCATTGGTTGGGTAGAAAATCAAACATGTCTCCTTTTGTGTCTGCAGGATATCCTGGAATAGTGAAGGCCTTCACATTATTCAGCCCAGAATGTCTGACAGAGGCCAGTACAAGTGCACAGCTGCCAACACTCATGGCTCAGACTCAGAGATATCTCAGATACTGCTCCCAGGTGCGTCTTTTGTGTATTCACTGTCATTTATTTTTTTAAAATATAAATGTTGCTAACATTTAGTTTCTTTGTATACCTGTGTACACTACTTTTGTTGCTACTAGTGTGATGTCCGGTGTCACTAATAAGTCTTGTGTTGATACTAGTTGGACAAAAACTGCTATTAGTTGTTGAAAAACAAGGACTTGTTAGACGTTTTTGTTAGATAGTACAACATAATGCCAAACTTGTGCAGCCAGATTTTCAACTAGTAATGAAAAACATTAAAGTAGTAGAGGAAGCTGAAGTCTTATGTTGGGGATATGAAATAAATGCTTTTAAATGCTTTCATTAGAGATGTTTCTGCACTACACTTCAAACAAGCAATTTCTATGCAAATGGCCAAAAACTGAGGCTGAATATAGGTCGATAGCTTGATTAAACACCTGGATCAAGTGGAGTTTTTGAGTAAAGGTTTAATTACAACAAACTTAAACTGAGGACCTCAGTTTTGTCCCGGTTGAAGTGTAGAAAATTCTCTGCCACCCTTGATTGACTATGTAAAATACAGTTTGAAAACCAATTGGCCTTCGATCATCAGGAGACACAGTGATGTACAGCATTGTGTCATCAGCCTATCTATGGAAACTGGTGCTGTTTTCAAGTGGCAACAAGTAAAGATAAAGAAAAAAGTGTAGGACCCCCAGGAACGCCATAATTTATAAACAAAATTAGCTTTAAACCACTTTCAGTTGTAAACAATACCTACCGAAGGATTGATACCTTGTCGTGGTCGGTGGCCTTGGATGTCTCAGTGACCCCCAGAGCTATGCTGGTGGGAGATTTGTCTCCTGGTAGGGCCACCCATGCCAGACAGGTTGAAGGGTAGAGGCCTGACAAAGCGTGATCCACTGGTCCTCCAGGTTGGGGGTTGGACACAGGACTAACAATCCTGTTCCGTAAAAACACTCCTGTTACGGAAACAGCAACAGAGGAACTTGACGCTACTGGGTGTGATGGGCTTCCAGAGTCATCAGAAGATACTCGTATGAATGACAGTGGTGAAAGCCGGAAGGAAGCCACTGACAGGAAGATGGGACTCTTGAGCACCAAAACCAAGACCGGAATTGAATTCTGGAACATGAGAACTATGTATGAGACAGGAAAGTTGCCACAAGTGACTGCAGAGATGAGATGCTCCACATATCTTAGGAATCAGCGAGAGCTGATGGACAGGATCAGGCAGATGCAGAACCAACACTGGAGAGACAGTGCTGTACAGCTGTAGAGACGACAACCAGCATCATGAGGGTGTGGCCATCATCCCAAAGAAAGAAATGGAGAAATACCTGATGGAAGGGAAACCAATCAGCAGCAGGCTGCTGAAGATCAGAATGAAGGGAAAACACATCAACACCACCATCATTCAGTGCTATGCACCAACCAATGACAGTGAGGAAGAGAGGAAAGCTGCATTTTATGACCAGCTACAGGCAGAACTAGAGAGCACGCCATGACATCAGATGAAGATTGTGATGGTAGATTTGAACGCAAAGGTTGGACAAGACAACACAAGCCGTGCAAGGGCCATGGGAAGAGAAGGATGTGGCAGCATGAACGACAATGGAAAGAGGCTACTGGAGATCTACGCGACATGGTTTGGTCATCAGAAGAACACTCTTTCCACACCCTGAGATCCACAAGCTTACCTGGTGTTCCCCTAATGGAAGAGACAAGAACCAGATAGACCAACTGATGATTAATGGGACATGGAGAAGGTCATTGTTGGATGTCAGAACGAGGAAAGGAGCTGATGTCGGCAGTGACCACCATCTTGTTACTGCAAGCCTGAGACTAAAACTGAGAAAAAACAGGCCGAAAAAGATGGGAAATGTGGAAAAGCTACATGACCCCAAAGCAAGGAGTGCTTTCACCCTTCAGCTGAAGAACAGGTTCCAAGCACTGGAAAATGCTGTGAACCATACAGAGCCAGATACAACTGAAAGCAACACCATGTGGGACCAAGTCAAAACAGCATACACCTAGACCAGCGAAACTTGCTTGGGTCGTCGGCAAAAGAAGAGAAAGGAGTAGCTCACAACAGATACCTGGCATGCCATCGAGAACAGGAGAACCTTGAAGAGGAAAGTCATTGAGACCAAGTCGGAGAGGCTGAAAGAGAGATACAACTAGCAGTACAGGGAGGCTGACCAAACAGTGAAGAGGATGATAAGAGCCGACAAGCAGGTGTACATGGAAAACCTAGCAAGTCAGGCAGAAGAGGCAGCCAGCAGGGGAGAACAAGGAAAGGTGTACAAAATCACAAAGCTAGTAAGTGGCAAGTACCAGTGAACAACCGACTCGCCAATTACGGACAAGCAAAACTGCTTACCACAGAAGCAGAACAAGAAGCTAGATGGGCGGAACATTTTAGTGAAGTTCTCAACAGACCACCACCTACAACAGAAACAGATGTGCAAGATCCTGAAGCAGACCTAGATTTCAACACTGCACCACCAGAGAAAGAAGAGATCATGGCAGCCAACAGATCCTTGAAGAATGGAAAAGCCCTGGATCAGGACAGCCTTACACAGAGCTATTCAAGGCCAATCCAGAGTTTGCGGCACAAGTTCTTCAGCCACTCTTTGCAGCCATATGGGAGGAGAAACAGCTACCAGTAGACTGGACAGAATTCATCATTGTGAAGATCGAGAAGAAAGGAGCCATGAGCAACTGCAACAACTGGATAGGCATCACCCTATTGTCAGTGCCAGACAAGATCCTGGCAAAGATCATTATCCAGCGAATTTCAGAGGGAGTAGATCAGTGACTGAGAAATGAACAAGTGGGTGTTCGAAAAGGAAAGGGATGCATCGAATAGATATTCACCCTGAGAAACATCGACCAGTGCACAGAATGGCAGAGACAGCTGTACATCAACTTTGTGCATTTTGAAAAAGCCTTTGATAGCGTCCACTGAGATAGTATTTGGGCATATGGGATCCCACAGCAGATTGTCCATACCATCCTGAACTTCTGTGACAACTTTACATGCAGGGTGGGGAACAGCAAGTCCAGTTTTGAAGTCAAGACTGGTGTCAGGTAAGGCTGTTCAATTTCGGTGCTGTTTTTCAACATTGTTATCGACTGGGTGATGTGGCGTACAACAGAGGACCAACCACGTGGCATCAGATGGACCCTCATCTCAACGCTTGAAGATCTGGACTTTGCTGACGATCTAGCACTGGTCTCACACACCCATCAGCACATGCAAGAGAAGACATCCCGTCTCAAAAGGAAAGTAGGCCTGAAGATCAGCCAGAAGAAGACAGAAGTCATGATGCTGAATGAACAACATCCCACACCAGTCAAAGTGAATGAAGAAGATCTTCCAACAACTGAGGAGTTCACCCACCTTGGCAACATTGTCAGACATGATGGCGGAGCGGGCAGCGGCATCAAGAATCACCTCAGCAAGGCCAGAAATGCCTTCAGAATTATGAACAATGTTTGGATGTCATCCCAGTACAGCACCAACACTAAACTAAGATCGTACCAGAGCTGTGTGCTTTCCACCCTACTGTACAGCTCGGAATGCTGGAGGATGACAGAGTGTGACCTAAACAAGTTGTCCACTTTCCATACAAAGAACCCTATAAGGATCCTGTGTATTTTCTGGTCTGTGACCATTTCCAACAAACAACTTGGTTGAATTGTACACAGAACCTCCTCTAATTAATTAATTATTATTATTAATTATTTTTTTCCCCAGAGGGGTATTAGTATCAGGTGGTTCTCCACTTCAGGTGGTGTCAGTGTTTACAGTAATGGTTCCACAATCAATCTTTTCAGCCTTTCCGCTTCTAATGTGCTGAAGGTTTCAAAGGCATAAAGTGCACTGACTGCAACAAGTAATTGTTACTGAATGTAGTTTCTAGTTCTATCAGTACATAGAAAATAGAACAATTATGTTTTCCTGCATCCTGTGTGGGGCTGCAAGGTGGCGCAGTTGGTAGCAAAATTAGCCGTAAGTCAGCTGGGATAGGCTCCAGCCCCCCCGCGACCCTAATGAGGGTTAAGCGGTGTATAGATAATGGATGGATGGATGTATCCTGTGTGATAAATTTTATGTTGTCAATGTTGGTGTGAGAGGAGAGAACTGCTGCTTGACAAAGACATCCAGAGGACAGAAAAATGTAACCAATCAGTGTTGTCTTCTCTGAGTTTATCCAACTGGACTCAAGACAGACACAGCTCATGTAAATGAGAAAAAGCATATTTTATCTTTTTTATGGACTGCAATGGACTGCTTATAGTGGGCTTTTCACCGCAATGCCATGAAAGGAATTTCACTGCAGCTTAAACAGCATCTTACCGATAGACCATGGTGATAGGAGAGATATCTGTAAAACCAGTCTTGAGCAAGCTACTTGAAAAGTGCCGGGGGCTTGGCTTGCAGTCACTCTACAATAAATAAAGCTTTACTACACTGAATATACTTCCAAAGAAATGCAGCAATTCATGCTGCCGGATTTTAGAGCAGCTGAAGTGGAAACATGGTCTTCGTAGGAAGACCAGCTAGGATTACAATAATCAGTCCTGCATGAAATAAAAGCATGCAGCTGTGTCTTTTGTAAAGAGAGACTTAAGTATATTTTTAATGTGGGGGCTTAAAACTGGGGGCTAAGTCCAAGATGACTCCAAGATTTTTTTTCTTGTTCACGTGGTTCTAAGGTCAGTCCTTTTAATGCAGTAGTGAATTAAGCATCTCTCGTTTGGTTTCACCAATGACCAAGACCTCAGTCCTGATTGAGCTGTAGAGAGTTGTCTGCCATCCGTGGCTTGATATCTAAAATACAGTTAAAAAATCAATTGGCCTGGGGTCATCAGGAGACATGTTGATGTACAGCTGTGTGTCATCAGCGTAACTGTGGAAACATAGGAAGTTTTCAAGTGGCAATGTGTACAGTGTTTTTTTTTTGTTTGTTTTGTTTTTTTGTGAAGCATAGGACATAAAATAGAACCATTAGGAACACCACGATTCCAAATACAGAATTAGTTGATTACCACTTCCATTCCAGCTTTCATGATATCTGTTTGAAAGCGTGGATTTGTTTGTATACAGAACCTCCTCTGATTCATTGTATTTTTTTCAGAGGGGCAACAGTGTTAGGAGACTTTCCACTACAGGTGGCGCAAACATTTACAGGTACGGCCCCGTAATCAGCCGTTTCAGCCTTTTTGTTTCTAATGTGGTTTAGGTTCCAACAGCATTAACTCATAGCGTGCCAACTACAACAACAAATGGTTATTGTTGAATGTAATTCCACTTCCTATGAGCACATGGGAAATAGAACAATTATGTTACATTTTATGTTGTTGATGTCGGTGTAACAAGAACATCTAGAGAGCAGAAATATGGAGCTTAAGTCTTCTCTAAGTTTAGCCACTTGTTGTTTTTACTTGAAGTTTAACCAGTTTGAATTAAGAGCCGCACAGCAGTTTTGAAGAGTGGTACAGGAGTATGTACTCAAGAGTAGGTACTTTTTCCTCCTGAAAAAGCCCCTGAAAGAGAGAACAAAAATTTAAGCTGCCCAAAAACAACCCACAAGTTCCTGCAGTGGACAATGACCTGTTAAGCATCAAGGAAGGCTGCAGCACTGTCAACTCGGTGATCAAGATAATTCATCTGTGTAGAAGTAAAGTTAAGATGGCTGCCGTCCTTTATATTATCACATGGCATTAAAGCAAGTAATCATGGAATCACTTCCCTAAGTCTGGTTACTGCATTTTTTACTTTTATTTTTTTGCAAATTCTGTGTAGAACTGTGTAAAATTCAAACTTTGTAAACCCATTGCCATACAAAACAGGGTTTGCGGAAAATGTTCAGTTTCTTGCTGTATGTTGGAATAAATTGTGAATAAAACAGTCAATGTGTTTATTTACATTCTGAGAAAGGCTGATTAAGTCTAGTAAAGAATTGAATGCCGTGGTGAGGCAATTATTGTCAGCATCTACATGAAAGCTGAAGTGGCCTATTATAATTACTTTATTTGTACTAAGCACTAAATCAGCTATACATTCGAGAATTCAGACTTTAAAACTCAGATTAAGCGTAGATGGATGATATAAAGTAACAAATATGTTTTTTGTTTTTTCTACTGTTTTTCAGTTAGGTGTGAGAGTGAGGCCTGAAAGACTGATACACTTTCTTTGTATGTGAACCTTCAGAGCCACCAGTCATCACAGTCTCATGGAGGAATGTGTCAGACCATGGGGTAGCGCCAGGCTGCAGCTTGAGGGCCACAGTTGGAGGACGAGTCAGCATTCGCCCAGGCACTAACCTCACTCTGGATTGTCCCGTCACTGGTAGGTCTCAGCTATATGCCTTGAATGCAGAGCTTGCGCACATAAATTAGAAAAAAGCACATTTTACTTTTTTTATGGACTGGAATGGAGGACATTTATAGCAGGCTTTTATTCAAAGTACTATGCTCACAGTAACACAGTTGAAAGAGGTCCACTGCATCTCAAATAACATTTTGCCCAATAGAGCATGTTGATAAAAGCAATATCAGTTAAAGCAGTCTTGGGGTGGGCGTGGGGGGCAACTCGGGGAGGATTAGAGTTGCAGTAGTCAGTGTGAGAAGTGAGCAGGATTTGAATAAAAAACTTGAGTACTGTGTTGATGGAGTGAGCGAGAGAGAAAGCAGAAAAAAATATTGCATAGATGAGAATAGGCAGTATGCTAGATGCTATTGATGTGGAGGCTAAAGGAAAGTGCACTGTGCAGCGTGACACCAAGACCTTTGATTCGGGAGAGTATGTTGACCAGACAGTCATCAGTGAATATTGTGAAGGGCTTTTTCTTTTTTTTTAAAGTGTGATCTTTAAGCCTATAAGAAGAGCCTGTGTTACTGTACACACTGACTGCTGCTTCACTCATCTCATCCAATCACAAACTGATGAAAACATTTGCTCAAACAGGCGATTTTGAGTTGGTTACAAAAGGTTACTGAACTTGGAGCCAATATGACATCAGCTTTTCGTGTGTGTATGTCAGCAGGCTGTATGGCGAGGGATGAACCAGGTTACAAGTAATATTTCATCTGAATATTAGCAGTGAAGTTGGTAATAACAAGTGACATTCTGACATACACAGGTAATAAGAGTAGCACAAGATCCTGTCTCTTAGTGGCAACTCAATACCGGGAAGACAGATGCCTGATCTGACAGTGTAAAGACAGACACACATTGGGACCCACACTTCATCAGTAGTTTACTTCATTCATCTCAAACTAAGAGGTGTTGAGTGACTAAATATGAAGCTTTGGCCAAGTCCTCTTAAGCACCTGGCTTCACAGACAGACTGTTACTGTGGCCTCACTAGAACGTTGGATTGGTGCGGCTCCTAACAATCCACACCTGTATTTGAAGATGCTGAATGAAATGTTTGCAAGCATTTTCCCCAAAAAGGCCAATTTCAAATGTCAAATTCTAGAAGAACCAGTGTGTCAAGACAGATCCCACAAAAGTGGAATGCATTCAGATGTTTTGTCTCAAAGCTGAGATCTTTTTCAGAGATTTTTCCTCAGATTTAAATGTATTTAGTTACAAAATATATAGTAAGTAGTAATTTATATCTTTCCATTGAACATTTATATAGCCTTTTGTAACAAGTTCAGATCAAAAAGGAGGAGTCAAATGCAGGACACATTAGACATTTCAAAATGCATTACTTCAGTATCGGACTGAGGTCATAGACATGAAGGTAGTCAATGGGGCAAATAGTACAGATGTACGAGCAAAAAAAAGGCACCACAAAGCCCAGGCCAAATGTGCTTGGAACAAGGCTGAAGATAAAATACAGGAAAAAGGCAAAATGACAACCACAAGAAAATAGACTAGATCTAAGAAAACATGAGGAAAACAATAAATTGCTATAATGTGTGACTACAACATGTACAAAGATGGTCAGTAAACTGACAAAGCAAAATGCTTGTTCCGAGAGGAACTATGTATCAAGACACTGGTGAAACTTCTAAGGGTAGTGCAGATTGTGGTATACAAGGTAAGTCACCTCCAAATAAAAGAGACAAGAACTACCCATTGCAGTTTCTAATATTTATTTAAACACATACTCCCTACATTGCTCCTGGAACACAGCTGTACACAAAACCATTTCTACACATTATGCATTGTGTGAAAATTCCATGTCTATCATCCAAATTCTGTTCCTTAACCCTCTGAATACTTTTAGAAATAAGCATGTGCCAATGTTTCTACTCCGTCTGACCACTACATATTGGCTACTTTCAGTGTTACACTTCAACTGCATTAAGCACTTACATGTCAGTTGACACTTCAAGTCCTCACACTGATACTCAGACTGACTTTTATACTTAAGCTGATTTTGCTGTCAGTGTTTACACTCCAACTCAAATTTCAGCTGCATTTAGTGCCTATATGGTTCAGCTGGAATTAAAACCACCTGTAGGTGTTTGATCTTATACTGCTGCTCATTTTCCATTAATGTGATTAACACTGTATGACAGTGAAGACAGTTTGCTTAAGTTTCTAATTTACACCATAAACAAACACAGATTTAATCATTGCAATCTCTGCCCTCTTTTACCAAATAAGTATTTGTTTGTTTTGAGCCATTCAGAAGGTGTTAATGTCAAGTGCAGCATTAGGAGTGAGAGGAAGAATAAATTGTAACTTTTAAAGGATGTCATATTGCATATTTCTTTGTCTCAAATACTAAAAACAATACTTTTAATTACCTGTAATCTGTCTATTCGACTGGAGAATGTAAAGAGAAAAAACAGTGAATGTTGTGTGTGGTCTGTTTCTGATACCACTTGTTGCACAGCATACTAGCTGCTATCAGCACTAGCTGTCAAATTCAATAAAGTCTTGCCGACTGATAATTTTGACTCAGGTAGGTTCATATTTTCACAATGTACTTGTCTCAGTTGTTCATATACATGTCGAGAACTTTTTAGAGAATTGGCTGGAAATGCAGCTGTATGTAGTCCAACCACTTTCAGAGGTATCTCAGTGATCAATACCACCGAGCCACCTTGCAGCCCCTGTGTCAAACATTTGTTTATTTGTCTAGTTAATGTTTGTAATACTGTCCAAATACTTTAATATAATGTTTTGAAAACATCTGCTATCTGATGTATACACAGTAGACAACAGGAGTACACCCCTGGGAAATATCATTTGAATGCCATACGATTCAAAATCGTATCACCTCTCAGCAAATTTGTTATACCGACTGCAGTTACTTTAGAAAGACTTCAGATCAAACCATAATAAATGTATGCCACTCAGATAGGGTCAAGCATGTTTGGTATAAACCTGGCCAGGTTTATATGCATATCCCAGTGCATAGTCCTGACAGTGAAGCATGGAGGTGGGAGTGTGATGATACTGGGCTGTATGAGTGCAACAGGTGTCGAGAAAATGGCATTTTCAGCGTAGATGCCACCATCAATGCCTGTGGATATACAAAAATATTGGCTGACAAGATGATTTCCAGTCTGCAGAAGCTTGGCAGAGGAAGAATATTCCAGCATGATAGCCATGCAAAGTACACTGCCAAAGTTATACTAAAGAAGGAAAAAAAATGGAAAACTGTGACATGGCCAAGTATAAACCTGAACTGAATCCAACGGAACACCTTTGGGGTAATTTAAAGAGAAAGGCAGAGCAGTACAACCCCTCCAACTATCAACGGCTGAAAAAATGTCCCCTAAGACTGGCAGAACATCTGTCCAGAAATGTGTGCAACACTGATATCCTCCATGGTGAAGACGAGTGAGTCTGTCAACAGAAAATGAATTAAACATATACAGCATGGAAAGAATAGATGAATGTCTATACCAGCTGCTGGTGCATTGAATTCCTTCACCAACGAAGTAATGCATTAACTGTAAGGTGATACAATTTGAAAAGAGTGACATTTAAGTGATATTACACAGGGGTGTAGTGACTCCTGTTGTATATTGTGTGTGTGTGTTACTATTTTCCAAATGGACTGCAGCACCCAGAGTTTAGACGAATATACCTTCATTATAACCACACTATTTCAAAGGTGTCACTGTATGTCACAACTTAAATTAATATATCAAAACACTTTTTAGTTTTTTCGGTAGTGTTTTTTTTTTTTTTTTCTGTAATAGTAAAGCCTTTTCTTAGGTATACAGACTAGTAACTGTTACCCAGATTTCTATCAGCCCATCTGTTCTCCATTTATCAGGCGTCCCTCAACCCTCAGTGACATGGCACAGGAAGAATGGACCATTGGATGCCAGTGCTGTTTCCCTGCCATCTGGCTCACTGTGGATCAGAAATGTTTCTCTGCATAGCCACGGCACCTACTCCTGCACTGCCACTAACACAGTAGGAAAGTCCACTGCCTCTATTGTTCTGCAGGTCTACGGTGAGTTCATACAAAAACTGCATTTCTCATCATATACCAGTTGCATCCACACACATGGTGTACCTTTCTGTACAAATGTGTATGTGTATACAGGTCTACATCCAGCTGGAGGAAGCAGATTTCTTCCAGTGTCACAAGAGCTGAACAGGAGACGGATTCTGATGGCATCACGCCGTGGAACAAGTGTTTCCATCAAACCCGGAGACATTCTGCGTATAGGTAGGCATGCATATACAACCTCCATCCTCATGCTCACACAGCAGCAGACAAACTACTGACAGAAATTTCAAAACGTTGGGCCTGTTGAAACAATATTATCATATTCATTTAGTAGTATTTTTCACAGCCACCTTGTTGACTCAGTCTGGGACTGCAAGATAGCAAATAAGAGAGAAAGAGACGAATGGAGTGAAAGACAGAGCAGTAGATCTAGCTGCTCAGGGTGAAGGTGGAGATGGCGTTTATGTGGAAGCTGTCTGCCTAGCAAAACTAAAACTTACAAATTGCATAATATCAATGAATCCAGGAGAACACAAGCAGCTTGGCTCACATGTCCATCGATCCATCCATCAGCTGTACATCCTGTATCCTGTGAAGGGTTGCAGAGCTCTGGAGACTTTCCCAGCTGACAATGGCCGACAGATATAGTACAGCCTGGTCACATTTCACCTTCCCATTGGACTGCTAACACGAAGAGACATACAACTGTGCACTCTCACTTATGGCCAATTTGAAACCGTCAGTTAACCTTTCTTGTATGTCTTTGGACTTTGGGAGCATTAAAAAACCACAAAGACACAGGAAAACATGCAAACTCCACACGGACAGACCACAGCTGACCAGCAGGTTCATCTTTCCTTAAATGCATGAAATAGGAGAACGGTGCACAATATATATTTAACTTACTTGCTTACTTTTATTCTTAAATGAGAATGTTTAATGAAGTTCTTGTTTGTTTTAAGAGTTGTAATTCTATCGTGGTTTAAATTTGTTAAAGAATTATTGCCAAAATATAATTTATATATTTTCATGTATTACATTATGCTTAGAGATGGTGTGTTTACCTTACAAAAACTCTTATTGGTAACAAATTTATGAATTTGAGATTTTGAGTTCATGAAAAGGTCACATCACCACAATACCATTTTTAATGTTTTTATATCATGTCATCCAATAAAGTACCTTCCCTTTCTTTCTTTCTTTTTTTATTTTTACCATGGATGAGCTTGCTTGATAGATCGTCTTATCATTGAGCTGCTCTCACATTAAAAGAGAACTCTACCAAATAAAAGCTGTGCTTGTATAACATAGTTGGATTTTCGTAACGAACTGCATGGAACCCCTGTTTAGCAGTTTCAGCTCTTCATTCAAATGTTAAATATGTTCATTGAGTTTGGTTGTGTCTTTAAACAGGTTGTCCAGTTGTCCTTGACCACAAATCACCTGTGCACTGGGACTATGACAACCAGACTCTGAAGGAGGTTTCAGGTTCAGCTTATGCCCAGGATCCTGTTCCAGGTCAGGGGCTGCAGTATAGGATGCTGGTGGGTGGTCGTGTCCTTGAGGTCAACACAATCCAGGTTAAGTTCTCAGGCCGGTACGGATGCCAGACCTCCATCAACAGCACCGGGCAAATACTGTCTGCCTGGATACATGTTCATGCTGAAGGTGAGATGTTTGCCTGACTCTGATGAAGACACAGTAGCATTGAAATGTTTGACTGTTGGTGCAGTTAAAGGCTGTGAATTAGTTGGTGTGATCCATGTACCTTTTGTTCACAGAAGATTTGCTGTCCTGTAAAGAGTTTCCCTGGAAGATGTGCGAAAGAACCTGTTTTTACTGAATTATCGTCTGTTTGCAATATTTGAGAGCAAAATGTAAAATTATCTCCTCAGCAGTAAATTCTGGACAAATCAAGAGTTTTTGAGTTTTTTCAAGTAAGACAAGTAAATCTGCACATTTTATTTTGTGGCAGTGAACATGAGTGAAGTTGATGAAGGGGAAGTGTACTTTTTTTTAATACAGAGAAGGCTTACATTGTTTTTTTATTTGAATTACACCTTTAAAAAAATCACTTGCAGCTTATAGTCAGGTATAGACACTTGCTAAAAGATGTGCTGTGTGTATAAGTGGCAAGCAGCTGGATGAATGAAGTGTCTCCATCAGTGTGCTGTGTTAACACTTTGCACTGAGTAGTTTACAATATCATTGTTTTCCATTTGTATACATTATATAGTGCCTTTACCAGCTGTCCCTGGTTTGCCTTTGGCAGTTTCCTACCTCTAAGGTGGGAATTCAAAATTCAATATTAAGAATCTTTGCAAAACAGTCATGTGCACTTGGTGTAGGAAATCCTTGCTAAAGCTGCTTGCTTCCAAATGGGTACAGGATTTTTTTGGCTGTTTCAAGGATCTTATATATCTGGATGTTTTTACATTTGGGTCCACAGAGTTTGGCTGGCGTTTTGGAGGCTGGACCACTTGCAGTGCTTCCTGTGGGAACAGAGGGACTTGGCTGCGGAGGATTCGTTGTGTCACTCTGGATGGAAAGGATGTTCAACACACCATGTGTCAGCACATACCCAAACCCATCACCTCCCCAGTCCCCTGTAACAGACAGGACTGTTCTCCCAGGTATGCTAGATTTAGCCATCATGATCACTTATTTTTGGAAGCAGATTATCCCATTTGGTCTCATGCAGATGCCACAACTAGCACATGGGTCACCTAGATATAGGAGGACATATAATTTGGGGTTTTTTCGTGGTAATGCCTGGTCATGTACATCAAAGCTGCTGTGTGCAGATAAACTGAATGTGGACTGTGGCTCTTCATTAATCAAACACTGGAGACAATCTTGGGATGGAATCACATTAGCTGTGATGCTCATTAACATGTACTAACATAAAATTGTAGTAATTACTATATTATTACATTGCAATTTTACCCTATTATTCTGTGCAAAACTACTCAAGCTTCTGTCAGGTTGCACAGAGGTCAGAGGTTATCTGGCCTTTTTAAGTCCAGCCACAAATTTTCAATTGGATTGACATCTGGGCTCTGAGTCAGCTTCTTCAGAACATTTACCTTGTTGTCTTTACAGCATTTCTTTGCTGTTTTTGCTGAATGTTTCGGGTCATTGTCTCACTGGAAAACCAATAATCTCCCAAATCCAAATTCTCTTGCAAACTGCATCAGTTGGTCCTCCAGGATTTCTCTTTTCTTTGCTGCATTCATGTTATCCTCCACCTTTACAAGCCTTCTGAATACACACCTGTTCAGTGTGTTGATGATATCTTGCACAGTTGTGATTCTGTCATGTTTTAAAAACAATCTGTCAACACACTGACATCCAGTCAGACAGACACATAAGAAAACACAGACTCACAAGGTGAAAACAATACCAGCTACACTATTGCAGCTGCTAAATATAACTCTTGGCGAGTCGGGCAGATCAGTGGTTCCAATGAACAATCAATATTTTAATGATAGAGTATACAATAAGCATGTAATCAAACAGAATGCATTACACTGACTGATGGACATTTCACTTTCTTTCAACAAGTTTACATACTCAGTAGTAGATTCTTTCACACACTGACTTTGATGAGTGAGAAACAAAGCCAGGCTGCTAATGAATTCATGAAGAGTTTTCAGATCACAGATCACTGTAACCCTCAGCACAATCTCCTCACCGTGACTCCCCTGCTGTTCTCAGCTCTGCCAGCTTGCCTTTACCCATCATATAGGCCATCAGTCAGCCCCGCCAACTCTGCTGCCAAACACTGAGTCAGTTCCACTCTCTAATACGCCACAAGTGACCCACTGTTGGCTCAAATTAAGCCAACACAGTGTTGCAGCAGGCTGAAATCATCTTCTAAATTCTGAAACTATGACACCTTTGAGGAGGGAGATACTAAAAAGTGCTTACAATTGTGAGTTGTGTATGAAGTTATCATGCTGTGTAGAAACAAATAAACAGAGAAGATTTGTTGTGACAGTAGACTAACACAGAGAAAGGAATGTGCATGTTGAGGAAAATCTTATAGTCCAACACACAGCAGTAGGTACAGGAGCCTTCTCTGGGAAACTGCTTAGTCTGTGTTGTCGGGCTGTCAGTGCTGTAGGCTTTGTTGCTGACCTTTTACAGCCCATGTCAAGAAAACAAGCACACACATAGCCAAACACACTGGGAAATTATACATTAGTACGAAATAGCACACCCCATCATGCTCACGCAAAGATGATGTAGGGAATGTCAGTGTTTGGATTTTTGAACTGGTAAATAAGTGTCATGATAAAAAAGTTACATTTGATTTTATGACAGCTTTTGGCTTCTATGTCTCCAGAATATTTCAGCAGATTCACTATAATTGCAGGCACAATACATGTGCAATTGCTACCACAAATCGTTATAATTTAGAATGGCTTATATGATCTTAAACATCTGAGAAGGAGTGAAATTGGAAATGAGTGAATGGCCTTTTTGAACTATTTCCAGGATGTAGCCTTACAGTACAGACTATGTACTGTGCATAAATTATCTGACTGGGCTTTGTCTAGATGTACACACTACATTTACTTATCAGGAATTCATAACGGCAATGGGTCAAATAACAATATGTAATGTATAAGACATTGTGAATGACCTGTACAGACAAACCCACAAAGGATCATTACCAGACTTGACATACTTTTATTTCAGCGTAGACCTTTGCTTCATTTGCTTCTTTTTCATTTGGTTCAGTCTTGTTACCATCATTAGAGGCAACCAGCAGATGTTTCTGGCAAAACAAAAAGGTAAAAAGATAAACACAGTTAAATACGCGCTGGTACACTAATTCAAGAAAATAACATGTAAGCTGCCAGCTATTCTTCTCAGGAGTGGGTAGAAACATTACAAATAATTGAATGTAGAATAAAGTAAGAAAAACATCCATGTTTTAACAGATTTGAATCGATGCCATGTCAGTGACATACTTTTTAATACGTCTTCTACTGAGTGAGTGTCTCATCATCTGAGGTGAGGTATGATTAGTAATTGTTGTGTACGAAAACTTTCAAAACATTTTTGCTAAAAGCCAGTATTTTTTATAAAGCCTTTTATGAACACAGATAGTTCCCATTTGTAAAACTTGTGTATCTGTATTTCATGTCATTTCAGATGGTCAGTATCACAATGGTCAAAGTGCTCAGTCTCATGTGGAAGTGGATGGAAACACAGGCAGGTCTCCTGTCAGCAGCTGGACGCCAGAGGTGTCGTGAGGACTCTAGAAGCAGATGCCTGTGAGAGGATGAGCCGGCCTGCAGACACAGAGCAATGCACTGCCAATAATTGTCCCATCTGGGTAACCAGTGCATGGGGAAAGGTAGATTAAAGCACTGAATTAAATGTATTACACACTGTGGAAAATCGATTGTGAAATGTAAACTAAGTGTTGCTCAATTTCAGTGTTCAGGGATGTGTTCAGCCCCCACCACCACTGTACAGAAGAGATCTGTCACCTGCCAACATGCTAATGGCTCATCCTACGCAGACTGCGATGTCAGGAACAGGTAGACACAAGCCCTGTGTATCAGGTCTAAGTTCTCATGAAGGTGGTTCAAAGGAATTACATGTAACATCAACAAGCTACAGTGCCTATAAAAAATACCCCCCTGGGAAGTTTTCTGCTTATATTAGTTGTCAATATTAAATCATGATCACTTTAATTTTTGACAAACTCTTTTTGACAATATAAAATGTAAAATAAGTGATTGCATAACCATTCATTCTCTTCAACAGGCCTTTTTAAGTCCAGCCACAAATTCTCAATTAGACTGATGTCTGGGCTCTGAGTCAGCCTCTTCACAACATTTACCTTGCTGTCTTTACAGCATTTCTTTGCAGTTTTTGCTGAATGTTTCAGGTCATTGTCTCACTGGAAAGCAAATAATCTCCTAAATCACAGTCATTTACACATTCATTGTACCCTCTACCTCTACAAGCCTTCCAGGGCCTGCTGCAGTGAAGTGTCCCCACATCACGATGCTGCCTCTATCAGGCTTTATGCTGGGTGTCCTGTGTTTGAGATAATGTGCAATGTTTGGTGTCTGCCAAATATAGCATCTAGTCTGTTGGCCAAAAAGCTGAAATTTGGCCTCATTAGACAAAAGACACTTCTCACAGTTGACTTCAGATTCTTCCACATGCCTTCTGGTGAACTCTAGTTTAGATTCATATAAGCTAGTTTTAGCACTGGCCACTCTCCCATACAGCCATGACTGGTGGAAAACAGGCAACAGTTGTTATATACATAGTTTCTCTCATTTCTGCTGCTGAAGCTTTTAACTACTTCAGAGGAGTCATAGGTGTCTTAGTGGCCTCCCTCATTAGTCTCTTTCTTGCAAGGACACTCAGTTTCTGAGGACAGCCTGCTGTAGGCAGATTTACATTTATACCACATTTGTTCCAATTTCTAATGATGGATTTAACTATACTTTGAAGGATATTCAGGGACTTGGAAATTTTATACAAGACATCCCCTTATTAATGCTATTAAATTACCTTTTCACAGAGTTGCTTAGGATGTTCCTTTGTCTACACGGTGTAGTTTTAGCCAGAGGTACTGATTCAAGGGTGATTGCACTTTCCAGATACAGGTGTCTTTATGCTACAGTCACTTCATTCAGATGATCTCCATTTCACTAATTGTTCGACTTCTGGCACCAACTGACAGCTCTTGTGTTGAATTCCACGATTTAAAGGGGGTTAACACTTAGGCGGTCACTTATTTTGCATTTCATATATTTTTAATGAGTTGACATTACTTTGTATACTTTTATGATATCATTTTATGATATTATGCTATTAGTATTTCAAAACTAAAAGGAACAGTGCTGGAATAACAGAGAAATTGAAACAAAATGTAAACTACATTACAGACAAATATACTATTAAGCAAGTAAAATTATATGCATGCTTGAATTGCTGTATACACTCAGTGGTCAACACTTTACCAAGCGCACCTGTAAAAACTAATGCAGTTGCTTCCTGACAGTAAGATGAGAAGGCAGATATCACATCTGTCAAGTTAAGAGTAGAGAGCTGGAGTCAGAACATGCTTAGATTAGCTTGTCTTAAATATTGAAGGTTGGAGAAAAAAGCATTGCCGTGTCTATGCAAAAATGCATCTTCCAATGCCTGTGATGTTCACTAAATACAGGATAGAGTCACATTTTTTCTATGTCTTAAAACAGTATTGCATGACTATATGAATTTGGAAGGAGGCTTTGATTTAAATGCACAGCTCTGGAGGCTCACAAAAAGTCCAGATAGTTCATTGCACAAAAGGCACAATAATCAGGCAGAGGTATTCAATTCAAAAAGGAAACTCAGTGATCAAAAACAGGTTGAGAAGCAAAGGTATTGAACACAAACACACAGGCAACACTGGTAATCACAAGGAGAAATGGCTGGGAAGCTGACACGAGGTCCCAAGACCAATTGGTGAAGTCCATGAGAAAAGGGGTTAGTACATATACAGAAAGAAAAAAAAACAGGAAAGAATTAAAACATGGCCGATGAGGGGGACTGGATGTGACACTGACTGAGTTGTCTGAACGCCTTAAACACAATTTAGCAATGAAGTACTTTCAGGGGAAACGCACAACTTAGCCTTTTTTTTTGGTGTGTACTTGGGCTGCTGAAGCTTCACAATAGCATTGGCTGAATTTTAGAATGTCTGAACTTGGACCATAGGTCTAGTACGGTGTAGTTGAAAGATGTGGTCAATATCCTTAAAACTGGTTTTGCCATAGTTATTTCTCATATGGTAGTGAAACTGATGTTCTTTGATGATCTTTCTTTTATATTAGCCTCCAGCTGCCCAGTTTGATTGGTGGGCAAGCTGTTTACACATTTTTGTCTGACCCTTGTAAAAGGTTAGTATAATGAGTCACTGTGGTAAATTAATCTAAGTAACCAATAATCTTGCTTTGAAATACAGGCCTAGTTGACTGCATTATCTGGACCAGAAACACAAGTAAGAGACAAGTCTACCATAATGCCAAAAGCAACCCAGAATTACTCTCTTTTAGGCCTGTGTCAGTACGCAACTGCTCGTCAGACCTTTGTGATGTTCAGTGGCGCCACGGCGAATGGCGGGCGTGCACAGTTGTCTGTGGGAGTGGCTTTCAATCTCGCAGAGTGGATTGTGTACACCGCCGGAGTGGCAGAACTCTGGCTGACCAGCACTGTGCCTGGCTTCAACGGCCCTCTACCTGGCAGCACTGCAACACCTCCACATGTGGGAGTAAGTACGCCAATCCAAGGATCCTTTGTTTTAGCAGTCAGAGTCCCTACAGTTGCAGGTTCCAAGGTTTTAAAATTTACATTGCAATGAAGGAGCTTATATTAATAGGTAAAGGAATTCTATAGCAGCTCCATGTTTGTGCAGAGTTCATAAACTGTAGTTGATATCCAGAGGAATGTCCTTACTGTCTGAACTTATTATTGGGACTGGATTTGCCATTTGTAAGTACTGTACATGGCAAAAAGGACAAATACTACACAGTGACTTACTGTACTCATTGTCATCAGTCAACAGGTAATTCGACTCAACAGCTGTTCCATCTCTACACTGTCACAGAAGTGCAGTTAAACACATTTCTGGAAAAAATGCTAAACCTAATAGTTGACAGAGCTATTGTAGTCACAAGACAAAAAACAAGGGCAAACTGGGGTTTTTTTTGCCTCAAAACACTTGTGTAAAATTTCAGTCATTCTCAGGTCATAGTAATCCTAAGTGCTTCAGTAGAAGTCAGTTGTACTTCTATTTTTTTGTTCATGAAGAAGTCCCCTTCATGAGACTTCCTCAGTTCTAAACTTACGGGTGGGGAGTTGTTAGTATTTATTCTCACCCCTAAATCAAATGGCTGTGATCAACCCAAGACTCTCATGCCTCAATGAGAGGAGTCGTAGACACCACTTCTCAGGTATTTACTGCAATTTAGCTATTATTACCACCTTGAATCATCACTTTATCAAGCAGTTTCACATCCTTCACACCTCAAGTGTGGGCATGTGTGTCTTGGGTCATGACCAGCTCATCCGCCATGTGATTTGGAGGTGAGAATAAATACCAGGGACTCTCCCACAGGGCAGTTAGGACTGAGGAAGCCTTTTGGATGAAAAGTGAAACAAGAGGTAAAACCAAAAACAAAGATATAGAAGCCTACTACTGATGCACTTAAGAAAACACCTGATTTTGTTTTTTGTTCCTCTAAAACCATCAGTAGCTTTGTCATGGATGAATAGTGCTTGTCTATGCCCCACTCTGATCTCGGTGGTGAAGGGAATGTTTAATTAAAAGAAAAAACACTGTTGGGTTGTGTCATATTTTATAAATGAATTCCTATGTTTCGTATTTAAAATATTCAGCTGCCAAATAACGAGTAATTGCAGTTATCAAATAAATGTTGTTTTTTATATCATATGTTTACGTTTATTTGATATATAAAAAAAAGCATTTGCCTCTAAAATATACAAGTATAGTGGAATTACAGAACAGAAACTATAATTAAGTATAGTACTTGTAAAAATGTATTAAATTATGCTTAAACACAGGCTCGGTCCCTGAGAAGTTTGCATCAAAGAAGAATAGAGAAACCAGTATAAACTACAAATATATACAGTTGTAAACACCCTAAAAATTTGCCAAATTTTAGTTTCTTTTCAGGAAACTATCCATCCATCCATTTTCTATACGCTGCTTTATCCTCTGTAGGGTATCATAACTGACTTAGAGTGAAGGCAGGGTACAATCTGGACAGCTCACCAGCCCATCCCAGGGCTTTAGCAAAGTATGAGAAATGTTAAATCCTACTTGGCATCACATTTGTTTGGTTGCTTACATTAAGTATTTTGTTCCCATGCAGGTGAATGCAAGGACACCACCCAGTACTGCAGTGTGGTGAAAAGACTAAAGCTGTGTCATGTGGATATGTACAAACAGAGATGCTGTGGGTCATGCTCACAGGATGTGGACTCCACCTAGTGGTAAAGAACAGTTATAACCACACAGATGTTCAACTGATGGGGTACATGAGAGCAAATGACTGAGCAAAGACTAAATGGACGTCATCTGTGAGTGGATGCTTCAATAACTGCACATATGTAAAGTGGACAAACTTCAGTCAGAATCTTTGACCTCCTTAAAGGAAACTGAATGGAGCTTCACAAAGCAATGGAAGAATGATGGACTATTTTTCCTGATTTGGACCCAACTTCGTAGTATTAAGTCATGTGTTCACTATGTGGATCAAATTGAGTTTTTGACTTTCCTATAGAAACAGATTTTCTTTTTTTTCCCTGTGAGATTAAAAAAAAAATAAAAAAGGTGGCCTGGTCAAATACAATACTCAAACTGATCTATTGCCAATATTAACTTTTATTAGTGAACTGCCAATATTGTTATTCACTGCTGATATAGGCGGGGTTCATAACATCAACTTGCAGGTGTACTTTTCTTGCTTTAAACTCCTATTTATTTATTTGTATAATTGTTCACAGGTGTTTTTATTCTTTAAAAAAAAAAAGGTGAAATTGCAATTTATTACAACTTGAGTCTAATTCTTCATCGTTGTTACCAGAATTTCTTCTCCCTGAAGGAATTGCTGCATTGTGGGGATATCTGGGAACACATGACAACCTCTGTTAAGTCAAGAAACACAAAGCAGATCGTAAACAAGCAACAGTATCGCTATATTGTCCATATTTTATTTGGAGCTAAATGTGAGCGTGAGTAGCCCTGAAATGAGTGTACAATTTTATTCCTACTCAGAAATTATGGCAAAGACTGCAAAAAACAAAACTCATTTTGTAATACATTGATAATATCCCTTAATCTATCCCTGTCTTTCCCTACCCTTAAGGAAAAGTGGTGTCTTACCTGCTTTAAAGAGCTGCTAACCCTAAGAGAAGTTATTTACTGTAGGTTGCAGTGTGCCATGATATAATGTTAAAGTTTGGTAGACACACTGAATTCTTCTTCTTCTTTGACATGAAAACAAACTGTTTGAACGTACTGGCACTAAAACGTCATGACAAAACCCATGTTTGGTTGCCTAAGCCTAAAATATATATTGACTTTCAAAGATCTATATTTGTTAAATATGCCTTACAGATTGAATGTTGAGGATTTAGCAAAACCTTAAATTATGCTTAGTGCTGACTTTTTTTTTAAATTTTCAGCACCAATGTTTTTTAAATGATCTGTTTCTACTCTATCGACGTAGCTCTTAGGGGATGGCTGTGGTTCTGTAAAATATTGCCAATTGCAAATAAATGCATTGTTAAATGTTAGGCAACTAGAATTCTTTTCAAGGTTTGGGAAAGATCATGGAAATGTTAAGATTGAGCTTAGGGCTCAGTTACAGATTGTCATGGACTTCTGCCACCCAAGTCCATCACAGCAGTTGTCCAAACACCATGTGGATCACCAGTCAATCAAGAGGCACCTTCAGCCACAATGTTGCAGAAACATAGAATATAAGAGAAAACAGTGTTATGACAGAATTCTGGAGACTGAGGGACATCCAAGGCAAATGTGTTTGGGGTTGGGCATCTATGTCGAGACAGTTGGGGTTAGAACTGACCATTGTTGGGGGAATTACAAGCCAGGAGCAGAATAAGAGTTCAAAACCTAAAGGTTCAAAAATATTTCAAGAGGAATATGTTAGAGATTGAGACAAAGACACAAACAGTGTGTTTACACAGAGGATGTTCCAAACACACTTTTCTGTCATCTGTCTCGCATGCAACTGATGCAACAGATAACTGCTTGCAGTTTTCTCTATATTCATATGAATAGGGCACAAAGCATATTTTTTTTATGCTTTAAGTTTTTTGTTTTTTTTTTATGCATTTTACACATGCAACTACAATGGCTGTGTTTTGGTTTCATTCATAAACTGCATAGATACAGTTTAAGGAAAGTACCCCTAACCTGTTAGGGTTAGGTGGTCTGCATGGAAGTCAGGTGTGCTTTACTACCTATCTGGTACCTTGACTGCTGCACCGCAACTTCACTATATACAAACAGGCTGCTTCCTGCACTGGCACCAAACATTGACACAAACTGTGTGCTGCAGAACCCTGTGTACCACAATTTCTGGCCACAGTTTCACCGGGCGGGGAAACCGTCATGTGCACAGAATCAAGCAGCGGAAGTCTGTCTAATTTATAATGGCAATATCAGTTCATGTATATACAGAAAACAGATTTTAGATCCTCAAAGACCATTCACTTGTGTGAAGGCACTGGGTTTTGGTTGTAGTCACGTGTCACTAATGACAGACGAGCTGCTGCTGATTGAGCTTCAGTTCTTAAAGCATGAATTCATATCCACCATATATCTGGATATGGTGGATTCATCAAAACTACCTTATTATTCCCAACCATGACACTGCAGAAGGTTTTGTAAAAAATAATTTTAACATTACAAATAAAGAACACTGAGTTAAAAATATGATGACATTACATACCACAGATGGGGCTGGCAAAGGGAGACTAAGTTAAAACTCACTCTGAAGTGAGAGGCACCAGCACAACAGTGATTTTGACGAAGAGGTATACTCCTATTACCTTTGTGTTTGTTATCATACCAATGTGCTGCATAAGTAAAGTGTGTTGTATATATTGTGTCTTAAGTGCAAAATCGTATATTGAGTGTATGTAGATTGTGTGAGACTTTTATTTTCATACTTATTCATGGGTAAGTTGTCTTTTCAACTCCTGTTTAAGATCGTAGAATATAAAACACTTGTATATGTTGGTTGGGTAGTATGTTTGCTACCTCTCACTTGGATTTATTTGCATGTTTTTTCAATGCATCTCTGATGTTTATTGCTTCATTGTGAAAGACCACTCAATATATCAGATGTAACAGCCTTACACTGATTGTGGACATCCACCTTGACTGAAGGAACATGAAGTAGTACAACTAATCATCAACGTGCTTTAGATAAGAATGCAAATGAATAAAGACAGTTTGCTCACTTCATAAATATAGACCAAGTTTGTATGTGTATTTATTTAAAAAGGAAGCTGCATGCAAGCATGTTTTTGTAACCAGCCAAATGCAAAACACAGTGTGTGATATGGACATTTGAGCACACAATGAGTGAAGTTTACAGCGTGGGGTTTAAACAAAATGTTTCTCTGTATGTAAATAATCTTAACTAAAGGTCCACTGGCCATGAACTTGTATCCACATCTCATAGTCTTCCACAACAACTGAAGATTGACAAGCTCTACTAGGAACAGGACGCATGAATTGGGATTGGTGTGCGTTTGGCACTACTGTTTAAAACTGCTGTTTCAAAGTTCAATAATAAAGTTTCATACAATAAATATATGTGCATGTCCATATATTTTTGAATTTTCAGGCCGATGGAGTAGATGAGATTTTGTGTTCCTTTTTAGTTCTTTAGAGTGATTATTTCTGTTTTATAAAAACAGACAGAAATGGGCGCCGCTATAGCTCACCTGATTGAGCTGGCGTCCCATGTACAGGGCTACGGACTGTAGCCCTGTACATCAGGACTGATGTGGAGGTCATGAGTTCGAATCCTGCTCATGACCTTTTCCCACATGTCCTCCCCCCATTCTTCTCCCCTACTTTCCTGTCTTTCTTTCACTACACACTATCCAATAAAGGCACAAAGGCCAAAAAAAAACTTTAAAAAAAACAGACAAAAAAACTATAAGTATTGTGTAGCGTATTTATGGACTGTGACACATGACACAATAGTTTCAAAAATCACCATCATTGCTTGCATTAACTCAAATATTGCAGGTAACAAGGACCTAGAAATATGTGGGATACAATTTTATAAAGTGACCAAATTGACCTGCAATGAGCTGGCAGGCAACTAGGCTAGGCTTTTTTGAGTTTCGTCTTTGGATTCTGTATTCTATACAACAGGTCTATAAAGCATCAAGTAAATTTTATTTGGCCCCATTAAACCCTTCTGTCTAAAGAATTTGTTTTTGATTGTTGATATGAGAAAATACTCTCCTTGCCAACTTAGAAATAATTCAGTTGTTGGAAGGTGATGCAAATTGAAATCATTTGACTTTTAGGTGTTTTGCAGAGGAGTCCTGTTGTACAACTACTTTATGTGTCTACATGAGAGAATGTTTGAGAGTTTGGGAAATGAGAAGTCTATAATGGCAGCTGCAGTACACACTAAACGTAAAAAGAACGGCATGTGTTCTCCGTATAATTCTGCAAGGTCTTGACCTTAGTGTGTGAAGTGCCTTGAGAGGACATATGTCGTGATTCGGCGCTATATGAATAAACCTGAATCGAAAGATTTGTTACGCAGGCTAAAGTTCCTTTTTACTGCTCGCCTGAATGCACCATGATGTCAGCGAGAGGGCGTGGTTACGAGCCGTATCAACTTCCGGGAAAACAACGTGAGTTGAGAACGTCCACATGTCATTGAAATATGTGCTTCTTCTTACAATTTTGTTGGATTTGACTTAAAACAACAACGCAGGAGCTGGTACTGGAGCTGTGTGGACACTTTGGAAACGGACTTGGAACAGTGAGGAGTTTAAGCGAGGCTAGTCACAGTTAGCTATCAGATAGAGCAGAGCCAGCACCGGTGTAAATACAGCAAACATCGCCAGTTAACCTGGAACACCGGCTGTCCACTCTGCTTTCATTCTCTCTACACCGTGCTCTTTGTGGCAAAGTCCATGTTGTAAAGCTCCTGAGTGTGTCATGGTTCAGCTACAACGTTCTGCTAGCTTACAGTTTAGCCACTAGTCAGACCAAGTGTTGCTGTCGTGTTCTCTTATTATATTGCAGTGAGTGACACAAGTAGCAGCTGTACGTTTACTGTGATTATTTGGTTTAGGTGTTCACCATGGGACACACCAGCCTGGAGAAGATCATTGCACTACAGAGAAACCCAGCCAACATCAGAAACCTGTGCATTCTGGCCCATGTTGACCATGGTGAGTTAACACACTAATATCTAACCTTTATTCTACAGCAGGTGGCGCTGATTCGATAAAACGACAAATTTGAGCAAATAGAATATTATTAGGTGAAATATTAAATCATTGCTGTACACTTTGGTGCATCTTTATATAATACCAGCTATAAGAACTTCAGTTGACAATTGCCCAGTGCAACAGGTGCAAACACAGCATGTTGGCTGACAGCTTTAAAATGTGGACTAAGTTGCTTGTTTGACGTACATTGTGGCCTGGGGTAAACAAAATATTATTTTCACATAGCTTGTATGACTCTAATCTCACTAAATCAGATACTTTTTGCAGTTTTTTTGTGGAATATTATCTCATTTTTAATACTGTAAACACCTTTAGGGAAATGCCTCTTGGTTTGTGAGAAAACTGTAGATTTTTGTGAGATGAAAACCACTGGTCTGCTTCGCTACTTAAAAGATTTTTGTATGTCTTCACAAATGTCAAACCTGTTTTCCTATTTGCCTTTTTCATATAAATTTAAAAATTGCATGGTTTTGTTGCCAGTTCAATTGTTTTGACTGTAAGTTAGTCAAATAATTTGAAATCTACACAGACTATTTGTAACTATCTTTCTTTTTTTTAGGCAAAACTACCCTGGCTGACTGCTTAGTTGCAAGTAATGGTATCATATCCAGCCGACTGGCTGGGAAGGTAAGTAACTTAATTTGCTGCAGATGCATTTTGACACATTACGTGCAGGATTCCAGTTGTTCCAGAAGTTGTTTTGTCATTATTAATGCTTTATGATGTGTGACTCTACCAGCTGAGGTATCTGGACAGCAGAGAGGATGAACAGATCAGAGGAATCACTATGAAATCCAGTGCCATCTCTCTGCACTACAAACATGGTAAAACCTCGTTGATTGCACCTGAAATAAAAGCCACACTTTATTATTCCTCACTGTTAGATACGATGACTATGTGTGATGTTTATTACTCTTCAGTACCAAATTCTGTGGTGTTTGCCTAGGTTGTCTTGTCTTCTGCTGTTGTATTTGTTGTGAAGAGCAATAGTGATTATGGTGATCGGTAACACTAGTATTTTCTGTCAAAAAATGTGAATTTTGTACTTTTTAATGTCCAATGTTTTGTAGAATGAATGTAGAGCACAATGAAAACTCTAAAATGTTATAATGGTTTTCCTGTTGCTTTTTTCAATTGTTCTTTTTAGCCTTTATGGAATATGTGGATGTGATAGAAAGTCATCTTTGTTTGTCCAGCTGTCTGGATGAATGAGGAAAAAATATTATAAAACAAAAATGAGCAAAGTGTGTTACAACCCACAATATGGCCATTCATTACATAATCTAAAAGATGGCTTTAATGTCTGTTGCTAATATTCACTGTTGGAGTGAGAATTTCCGTATTTTGAAATTATGTAACAACTCTAAAAAAAGTATTTGTCATTGAAATAATTGTCAGTTGCCTTGTTTGAGCTGTAATGCCACGGAACTGGAAAGTGACATGACTTATGACAGAGAAATTCTCTGCAGTCTGCAACAATGTTGAGTAATTGATCAAAACATAGCTGAAATTGCAGTTTGGCTGAATGCAGTTTCTAAATCTGAGAAGCTGCCCCCAGACACAAGGGAGCATGCTTGTTTGGTACAGAATGTAGAAAAACCACATCATCAATTTTTAGCTGTTTTTAATATAATGACCTACTTACCATACCAAAAAAAACATGACTCCTATCACAATATAAATCTGTAATAGAATTTGTTTGTTTTGGCATACTGTTTAGCTGCAGTCTAAAAAAGGGGGTTTGAGGAAAAGAATCTAAACAGTGTTTGTGTGCCTCTTGTCTTGTTAGGAGATCAGGAGTACTTATTAAATCTGATTGACTCTCCTGGTCATGTTGACTTTTCCTCGGAAGTTTCCACTGCTGTCAGGCTGTGTGATGGAGCCATAGTGGTTGTTGATGCTGTAGAGGGAGTATGTCCACAGGTAAATATCACTGTTGACTTACTACCTCGTTGTGTAAGCTTTCGGTATTTTATTTACTGTACATCCATGTCCTTTACTGTGAAGGATGTAGTTGGCTTTTGTATCTGCCACAATGAATTTAGTTTTCTATGCAAAACTTTAGAAATCACTATAAGGTTAGTGATGGCTGTCAGATTTATTTTAGTATGGAACAACGTAGGAAGAAACTCTAGCCTGAGACAGTACTGGTGAACTAATGAAACAGTCTAAAATTCTGCATAAAGGGGGCTGACTTTGGGTGCATTTCAGTCTCCATACTACTGTTTTTATGCATGCCAGATAAATATTTATGTGCCCCAATACATGGTATGTAAAATGCAGTACACGAAAACTACCTTGATGTTTTACTACATGTGCCGGATTTTGCAAGCCAGCATGGTTTTCTGGTTTTCTGGCACACTGACAGATTACAGACTGTGACAGTCAAAGTTTAGGGCACATTATTAGGATGAAGCAGTATGTCCTAATTGTATGCACACTGCATGAAACAACACATACTTTTTAGGGCAGCTAATGCCCTACATATCGTTATCACTTTATCATTCAGGCCCATTAAAAACCTTTTGTTTTTACAAGAGTGTTTCTAACAATAGTATATTTATTTCCTGGTGGTTACAAATGCAGCTTTACATAGTGCTGTCTATACATGTGGAATGGGATCATTTAATATATCATGTGTATTGTTTGTAGACTCAGGTTGTCCTCCGTCAGGCGTGGCTGGAAAACATCAGGCCCGTTCTGGTTATCAACAAGATAGACCGACTCATCATGGAACTGAAGTTCACCCCTCAGGAAGCTTACACCCACCTGCAGAAGATCCTGGAACAGGTGAGAAGCCAAGTTCTCAACTCATTTTCGTGTTTGTAACCCCCTAACCTAAATTTGGAAACTTTGAGTGAAATTCTACTTTCTGCATTAAGCTGCCTAAAATCATGATTGTGTATTTTCTGTTAAGTCATAGAAAAAAAGGTTTGGCAGCGTTTTGCAGAACACTGTAACTTCTGCCTTGTAGGTGAACGCTGTTACGGGTACTTTGTTCACATCCAAAGTGCTTGAGGAGCGAGCTGAGAAAGAGAAGGAGGAGGAGAAAGCGAGCGAGACTTTAAGTGGAGATCAGGTTTATGACTGGAGCGCTGGGCTGGAGGAGGTTGATGACTCCCACCTCTACTTTTCTCCTGACCAAGGAAATGTGGTCTTTGCCAGCGCCATAGATGGATGGGGTTTCAGGTGAGGATGATCCCTACCTAACCTGCATAGATAAGGGGTATGTGTGCTTTGGTAAGCAAGATCCCCAGATGTAGACATTGGGATCATTTTGCAAAAACTGATATCTGTCGAGCCCCTTTCAGACATGAGAAATATAA